CAGTTTGATCAAAATCCTCCAGTTTAAAATCCTCACTGCTCAGATGAATCCTCCTCAAAGATACTTCCTCCTCTTCCTCACATCTTGTTCTTTGGGAAACCTTCAAAATGAAAACTTGAGATTTGTGTCTACACAAAAACATTGTACAGAGGAGGTCAATCTTATTTTCTACTTCCTATAATCCCTAGTTTTATTTTTTTTAAATCCTAGAACTTAAACAAAACTCCAGTTTTGATGCATATCTGTTGATAATGAACCAAAGCTACTGAAATAGTGAGTATGCTTATTAGAAAAATATTCCTGTCATCAGATCTCAGTCAGCTTCATTGCAGCTGAACATCATGTTACACTGAACATCACATCAGCTGGTGGACATAAATACAGTACAGTAATATTATATTCACAAAATACTAACAATAATATGTTCATCTTACTTGTGAAAAGTTATCCCCCGAGACCTGACGTCAACAGTCCGTCGATTAGAACAGAAATAAGCTGCGAAGTGCTGAAACATCTTCTGCTTTAACCAAATAAGGACGACCGCTCCAAGATGGCTGCCGAAAATCCTGCTCTGCAGCAGCCAATGAGGGATCTATATATACCCCACCAAGAATATTTAAATACACTGAACCATGTGTTCAGCTTTAATGGCTGTACGTCTAAGATTTACAGAGGAATAAATCCTGAGAATGAGTTTAGTATTCAGCTCTGACTGATTAAACGCGCAGATACTTCATTGCTCCTGTCAAACAGGTTACACTGAGTGGAGCGGTCGACCGTTCCAAGATGGCGGCCCTACAACTCGTCAGCGCCAATAGGCGATAGCGGTCAAAGAAACGCATACCGATCATCTCAAAACACAGAAAATTCCTGCATTTTTCTCCTTTCAGGGGATGAAGTATCTGTTACACAGAGCAGGGATGAGAATTTTATTTTACCTGGACGACCTGCTGCTCCTGTCACACTCCAGACAGGAGGCGCTGATGCAGGATCAGGTGTTGACATCACACCTGTTAAATCTGGGCTTCGCCATAAATTGGAAGAAAAGCTCGATTTTCTCGGCCCAGACAATTGTTTATCTGGGAGTGGAATTAAATTCAACCACCATGAAGGCTCGCTTATCCCAAACGAGAATCGACACTTTAAAAAGTCAACTCCACCACGTAAGACCTGGCAAAGTGATAACAGCTGTCTCCGTCATGAAGCTGTTGGGAATGATGTCATCAGCTCACACAGTGGTTCCGCTGGGTTTGTTACACATGAGACGCCTCCAGAGGTGGTTTGCGCGTCTGCGTGTGGATCCAGTAAAACAAAAACGACGGATGATCATTGTTCCTCCCTCTGTGAGAGCAGACCTCCGACTCTGGGGAAACACTCTGGTTCTGTCAGAGGGAGTTCCCGTCAGCAGACCCACGTCACACGTGTCAGTCTTCACGGACGTGTCGCTGTCAGGTTGGGGGGGACATGCCTATCTCAAGCAGTAGGGGCGCTGTGGCCCCACCGCACATGAGCCCACATCAATGTTTTGGAGTGTCGCACAGTGCTGAATGTGATTCAACACTTTGCTCTCGTGCTACAGAATCAACACGTGTTGATTCACACAGACAACATGGTGATTGCTGCGTACATAAACCGACAGGGGTGTGTGCGTTCAGCCCAGATGTTACACATTGCGCGAAAGCTACTGTTGGGCTCACCAAAACCTGCTCTCCATCAGAGCGGTTTACATACCCGGTGCTCTGAACAGAGGGGCAGATGTGATGTCCAGGGGCGGTCCACGTAACGCGGACTGGACCCTCCATCCAGACCTGATGGTTCAGACGTGGCAGAAGTTTGGCAAAGCAGCTGTGGACCTGTTTGCGACACGAGAGAACGCTCAGTGTCAACTATGGTTTTCCCTGAGCCCGCGAGACGATCCGCCGCTGGGGGGTGGATGCATTTGCTCACAGCCCATGGCCCAAAACGCTTCTGTACGCATTTCCCCCACCTCCTCTGATTTTACGGTTCCTGAACCGAGTTCAGGAGGAGGGACTGACAGCTCTCCTGGTGGCTCCCGAGCGCGTGAACGCACCATGGTTCCCAGTCCTGCAACGCCTGTTGTCGGGTCGTCCGTGGAAACTGCCATGGAGGGAGGATGCTCTCCTTCAAGCAGGAGGAGCGATCAGGAGTTACCCAGAAATAGGCCAGCACCTGTGGGTCTGGCCGCTGAGCGGTCCCGCTTAGAGAGGATGGGTCTCCCACAGGAGGTAGTGCGCACAATCCAGGATTCACGTGCTGCATCTACCACAGCTCTGTACACATCAAGGGGACGGCTTTTCAGCGCTGGTGTACAGAGAAAGGTTTAGAGGCCACCTCATGCCCATTAGGCGGCGTGCTGTCTTTTCTACAACAGCTGATGGATAGGAAGTTGGCATTCAGCACGATTAAAACGTACGCTGCAGCCATCTCTTCCTGCCACGAAGGGTTCGGAGACAGAACAGCTTTTAATCACCCGCTGATGAAGCGGTTTCTAAAAGGTGTACAAAGACGTAGGCCTGTTTCACGCCCACTTGTTCCACAGTGGGATTTAACGCTGGTCCTGCGAGCCCTGATCAAAGCTCCATTTGAGCCTCTGGATCAGGTTTCACTTAAATTCTTGTCTCTTAAAACAGACCTGCTGCTGGCTTTAACATCCGCTAAGAGGGTGAGTGATTTATCGGCCCTCTCTGCCGCTCCGTCATGTCTCAGAGTTCAGGCTGATGGTAGTTCAGCTGATTTAAGACCAAATCCAGCTTTTATGCCTAAAAACATCACAAGCTCTTTTAAATCAAGAGTGATATCGTTGGAGGGATTTTTCCCTTCCCCCCACAGATCAGAAGAAGAAGCATCTTTTCATCTTCTCTGTCCGGTGCGGGCGTTGACGTGTTACATAGCGCGCACAGCTGCAATGTGTCAAACTCAACAATTGTTTGTGCATTATAGAGATGCATCTGCAGGTCACCCGTTATCCACCCAGCGCTTGTCACACTGGCTGTGTGAAGCCATTTCTGAAGCCTACAAAGCATCAGATCTAGAGCCTCCTGTCAACCTCAAAGCACACTCGACCAGGGGTATCGCATCTTCGACTGTTCTGCATAATGGTATGTCAATGCAGGACATTTGCACTGCGGCTGCATGGTCAACACCCTGCTCATTTATTCGCTTTTACCTACGTAATGTAACGGCTCGTTCCATGACACATTCTGTCCTTAGTGCTCTAACA